TCGTCGAGATGTACAATTAATACGATTATTATTTATACAAGTATTTTCTTTTATTCTATATGGTATACCAATAACAGCACAAAAAATTTATTCATGTTCAACATTTTTTATGATAAAAAGTCCATTAAGAATAGCTATTGATAATCTTATTAATCAAATATCAATTGAAATTTCTTATATTTGTAATAGTACAATATTTTATACATATTCATTAACAAGTAAAAAATATCGAAAAGAAGTTTTTCATATTTTATCATTATTATTTACATGTTATCAAAAGATTAAAATATACCCTAGACAATCTATTGGTTCGACAAGAATAAATCAAAATAAAACAATTGAAAAATTACCTAATGAATCATATAAATTGAATATTCGAAATAGAACTGAAATACTTTGAGGACAAAAAAAAAAAGAACTTTTTTGTTTATATATATATATATAATTTATATGTTGTTTCGTATTCAATAAAATGAATATTTCGTGCAGGATATATTTAATTAATATTATCATATCAATTATTTCACTTGTTTTCTATTACATTAAATAACATTTATTCAAAAAGTTTTTTTCTCTTACTCCGATTAATCAGTTTTGTATTTCAACTAAATCTCATTGTTATATAAGATGATGACATCAAGTCTCTTTTATGACAATATTAACATTCTTGTTGTTGTTGTTTTTTTAAAACTTCTTCTATCATAAAAATAACATACAGTAATGTCATTTATATTATGTTGCCCAAGTCCTATCAATAACATTGAATTATTTGTTACTATAAAAATACTTGTATCATGACTATTCTATATTTTTCTGCCATTGAAATTTGTAATTGCATTTATAAAATAATTTTGTCTTTTTATGAACACCATCATTATTGATAAATAATTACTCGTTGTTTTTCAATCGAGATACGACATTGAATAATAAATCGTTTATTTGTTGAAAAACAAAAAAAAATTCAAGTAACTTCTATCAAGAAAGTCTTGGCACAATATACTCGCTCATTTTCTGATCACTGAAAAGCAACTAGCGAGAGCCAAAAGTAATTAGTAAGATTCAGAATTTTGTGTCTATTTTTGCTCAATAGCAGTGAGGGAATCTTTGAAAGGCCTAAAATATTAGTTTGGACGAAAAAAAACTTTTCGTACATACTCACTATTGAGATCTGAAACTAAAAGTTGGAAACATTTGTTGATACATCAGCTTGTAGAGCAAAATATACCCTAGAAAACGCACTATCTGATATTTTTTTTGTCTTCCAAGAAGACACCTAAATTTTCGTTTTTGAATATCATTTTCATTTTTGCAAAAATCGATGTTTTACAAAGAAACTAGTTCTTGAGACAATTGTTATAACTTTAAGCTATAGTTTAGTATGATATCATATGTTGTAAATAAGTGTTCGCTCTACAAAATTATCGATTCCGACAATTTTGAATACCTTCGCAAACGGACTTATGGAAGAGTTAACAAAAATCTGCTTGCTCGCTGTCCAAAACCGATTTGTACGCCTTTCAAAAGTTTCCTTGCTTTTCTCGAATAAAAATAGATGTACAATTTTTGAGCCCATATCCGAAAAGTGCATAAGATTTTGGTCATAATCAATAGTTTTTCGTTCGTCTGAAATACTTTCAAGCAGGCCAAAAACGAACAAACATTGTATTAAGAAACTTCGGCCCAACCTTTCCGTCCAAACTATTTTTTTTGGGCTTTTCAAAGATTCCCTCACTACTGTTGAGCAAAAATAGACACAACATTTCTGAGTTCATATTCAGAAAGAGCACAAAATTCTGAACGTTACTAAATGCTTTTGACTCTCACTAGTTGCTTTTCAGTGATCGGAAAATGAGCGAGTATATTGTGCCAAGATTTTCTTAATAGAGGTAGGTTAAAAGATGAAAGCATATAACAGGTGTTTATTTGTAAACCGCTTATGTCTCGAATAGATTGTAGATATACTGTTGACAGTAACTATTTAAATATTTTGATATTTTCTTTTCTCCATTGGCTTACTAAGAATGTCGAGCTACTCAACTATCATTCATAATAATTCTATTTGTAAATTTTATCAGAGAAAAAATATATATGTAATCTCTTGTTTTTATAAGTTATTACGTAAAAATTTTTATTATCATACACATGATCATTTTAATATTACACTCTATAGTCAAAGAGCATAAAGTTTATTAGAGATTAATCAATACGAAAAAGAAATTGATGAGATAATAAGACTGTTTTTTGTTTTCAATAGAATTAATTAATATAAAATCTTTTTTTTATTCTTTCTTTCTTTCATACTGGTTCATACAAGTAATGTAAGACAAAATAAATGACTCTTCGTTTTTAATTGTAACCACTTATTTCGAGGGTGAGTGAAAAAAAGAAAAAGCATAAAGTAAAATGACAATACTCTGCACTCGATTATAAGTAAGTCAAAAACATAATTTTTGTGCTTTATGGCATATATTTGACATAGAGGTATATCAGACCTTAATATTGTCATGTATTCAATATCAGAATGAACGGTTCGTTTTTTTATAAGTGTGATAAGTAATAATTTATTTATCTCCTCTTACGATCAAATTGAATTTATATTTTTATAAATAATCAAAAGTATAACTTTTACTATTCTATTATTTGTCTATACTTTTGAAAA